AGAGAGAGAGAGAGAGGAAGCGTGATAAGGCCACGAACGTGTGTTCGCGGGAGCATCTCGTTTCTAAGTTTGGCGCGGTGGATGCGGCGTGCGACCCAACCGACGACCTTTCTGCATTCATTCCGGTCTCCGCGAGATCACGGCCGCGACTCCTCGCCTCGTTCCCTCCCTCTCGCTGCTCTTTTCTTCGCATACCTCGCCGTTGCCTTGCCGTTGCTTTCCTCTCGCTTTTCAAGACATCGCGCCCGAGCGCGGCGATCCGTCTTGCGGGATAATCCGCGATCACATTTAGTCCTCTTTCTCGTATTCGTAAATTTTAATACGCGACTAACGTCCTCTTCCTACGAATGTAGATTAACTTTAATCTCGGTTTAACTTTCTTTTCGTCTTTTTTTTTTTTTTTTTTTTAGCTCGAAGGAGATTAAAATTAATGCACATTAATGAACATGGACAGAAACCTGTCGGAGAGACTAAGAAAGAAAAAAAAAATCATCACTTTCAAAAAAAATATCACTTTCAAATACGTAAAAAAAATGTGTTTTTGAAATATCTGTCCGGGATATTATTAAGTGTGTCGAGTCAAGGGACGAAGGAAGGGAAAAGATCTTATATTCAATTTCAAAGAAAATTCCAAACCGATGATCGTGCGGGTATGAGAGTTATTTTTGAAAAAGAAAAGCGGTTCAGATGAGATGAAAATAAAGTTCACATTTCGAAGGAAAAAAGGGACGATAGGGAAAAATGGAAAAAAGCGTATGCAGACATAAAAGTATATCTTTAAATTTTCTGACCTGCTGATCGTCTGGCGATCTAAATGACGATGAAATTTCGGGATTCCTTTGTCCTAAAGTTCTGTAGGCTATGCGTTCCAACATCGCCCTTTATCCTTCATTTTTAATCCGTGTACACCATCCACGTGGCGTTTTGTTCTTTTTCGCGAGCTTCTCTCTTTCTTTCTTCTCTCTCTCTCTCTCTCTCTCTCTCTCTCTCTCCTCTCTCTGTTGATCTCTTCCTCGTTATATAAGTCCAAGGACGAGCCACGCTACGTGTTCCTCTCTCTCCACCTTCATCACCCTCTCTCTTTCCTCTTCTTCTCGTTCTTTTGCTCTCTTCGTCCTTCTTCAATCTCCCTTTCCCTCTCTCGCTCTTTCTCGCTTCCTCTCGTTCGCAACGCTGTCCTCCTGCACCATGCACCGTATCAGACGATGCCTTATACGCTGCTCCTGTTATTCTTCTAGCTTCCATCCTCCTTCTTGCTTAGTTCAGGGTCTTCCAAAGCGAGCATCGCGATGTCCGAAGAGAGGGAGAGAGAGAGAAAGGAAGAACCAACACAGCAGGCGCGACGCGAAATCTCAAAGTGCAACAAGGTTTCTCTGCCGTTTTACCGCAGGCTATCCTAGACTTCTTGGCTATACCCGGTGTCCCGAACGCACCGAGCCATTTTTCATTTTCTCAAAAATTCGTGTCGCGTATTCTTCAGGTAAAGAAACCGAACGACAAGAATTATTCATCATTTCCTTTTGTGTTTCTTAACAAATTTACGGATACCACAAAAAACGCTATGCGTTTTTTACCCATCGTTCAAATCTATTCTTTCTTTCTTTCCGGTAACGTTTATATTTGGATTTCGACGAACAAAGTCGATTGGCCGAACATCTGCCAGCGTCATCTCGGTTGCGCTGAGCCGTAGGGCCCAGTACGCATCCTTCCTAGAAACAGCGTGCGTTGATGATAATCTTAGGGAAGGGCTTATCGTGAGAAAAACCTTGCAAGGAAAGGTAAGGAAACGTCGCGATTGTGACGTGACGCGGAAGGTGTGCTCTCGCGACTTGCTATTTTCATCGTTTTCCGCGCGCGCGTCATCCGCAAGATTGCGAAGACGGAAAAATATCCGGCGAATGGCCGTCCGGCCGTCGTTAGCCGTCATTAAGGCGGGAGTTCTCAGGTGCGGTATGCCGATTCGCAGAATCGGCATGCACCGTATCTAATTGCAGATGCAGACCGTCGTTAGTATCAAAACGCCGGAGGACGAGATCCTCTTCTCCGTCCCACTTCCTCCTCGCTGCCCCGCTTACGATCGGATTTCGCGCCAATTAATGAGATAGAATTTCGCGAGCGTGGGCGCAGGACATGCACATTCGCTATTTAGATATTCGGCCTGCCGTATCGCGGCCAGGACGTCCTGCAGTTATAATGACTCGTCGTCGGTCTTTGCTGTATGGAGGGCGCGGGGAAAAATCTGTCCGGCGTGGGCGAGAAATTTCGACGAGACTTGTTTGTCTTCTCGCGCGACGACCGATAATCCTGAGTAACCACGCGTTGAAAGTGAAAACGTGCGTCACTGAATATTCTATGAAAGATGTCGCGCTTTGAGTAGAATCCGGACAAACAGATACGATGTCCGATAATGACAAAAATATTCGCAGCGATTACTCACGACAGAATCGTCAAATTACAGGCGTGGTGTTTTTTTATCTCAAAGAGAAAGGTTGAGGACTGTCGTCGGAAAATCAGGAAAAATCATGGAAATTTAAATTGTTCAGGGAAAGTCATGGGAATGAATTTTCTGGGATTTTGAGCTTTCACAATTCCCTAAAAGGTTCTTATTCTATAATATTTATTTATAATTTTTTTATCAACTTTTTGTCACTTTTTGCATTCTTTTTTTCAATACCCCTTTACTTTTTATTGGCCTAATTTTTGCAGTCAGCATTATACTATGTTATTAAATTTCTAAGTTTGTGTTGCGTCCAATAATGTAAACTATTTTTCTCATAATCTCTGTTTTTAAAAGTTAAAATTTAAGGTTACACGTTGAAGATGAAAAATTCTCTCCTCTGGAAAAATCGAGGAATTTTAAAATCTACTTTTCGGTGGCAAGCCTACAATTGAGTCAGACATTCGACAGGACGGGAATTAATCGATTACGCGCGCAAATGTACGATACGAGCGTACGCTCTCGTGATGCAAACTTCGGCCGGATCGCGCGATGCAACGAGTTTATTGATCGTTGCAGCACGCGATCCGGCCGGAGCGCGCAGCGCAGCGCAGCGCTGCGCTACGCTGCGCTGCGCTGCGCTGTACTCGAACGGAGCAGAATTATGCAACCGCGTTACGCAATTGTTGCACCGTGCATTGTTGCCGGTTTCTCATGGCGAGTGCAGAATGCGCCTGGCCGACCCAGTGACATTGGCGTTACCCGCTGCGGAACAAGACACACCTACTCCATATAGCGCGAGCCGCGCCACGACGAAGGCCGCGACGCGATTTGTTCACGCATCGTTGGGCCTTTGCGGTTTTCCTCCCGCGTGTGCGAATCGCCTCCGCCGCCGTGCTTCCCGGTGTGATCAGCCGACGATATGATAACGACACGCATAATCGATGCCATTTGCAAGCTACGTTCCGTTCGACGCGACGAAACAAAAAAAGAAACTTGACGCTGCCCATTTAACACGCAGAAAATACATTCGCGTCATTGACAGGTTTTTTTTTTTCTCAGGTCTGCCGACCGGCTTGTGAAAAAGCGCACCTTCTACTCGCATTTAATAGCCACGTAAATGATCGTCCCTGACACGGTGACACACAATGATTAACGATAAATAACTGATAAAGTGAATGACAAAAGGAAATTAATTTTCTATCCGCCGATAAAACTGGATTGCATCTTATTCAGAGTGTGCTCGCCTCCATTACTATTTGGAATTACGCGTACGCTCGAGTTCGTGTGTCGCAATGGGAAAATAATTCACGCGAATAAAGAGCGTGATCTCTTTTATTGTTTAGCGACACGTGTTATATATGATGAATATTCGGTACTCAGTCAACGCGCATAATTTTCGCTTCAAAGTGGAATCTGGTTTTAAGTGGACGTTCCCATTCTCTCATCGGCGCTCGAGATTCGCGAGAATCGAATTAATTACCTTTTCATGCACGAATGAGTGATTATTTGGAAAATAGATGGTTGACATTTTTGTTCTCCGTCGCATGCCGTTTATCATCGGTCGCAACTCGGCATTTAACAATATTGTGTAGCATCAACGTACAGCGCTGCACAAAGTATGCGTCACATAACTATCTGAATAATTTATTTAAGTAGTAATTATTCATTACTCGCTGTAAATTATCTG